CACGCTGTAATTTCAACACATGATTCAGGAACAAGACCCCGAGCTTTAAAAAATGGGCTCCCAAAGCCAAAACAAGCAATTTCAACATTATACTATCATTTTGGGATTCCTACAAGGAAATCTGATACCTTCATTTTGTTTCAAGGAGAACAAATTTAGGGGTGACTGTCGTAGTTTGAGCATGTACATTTTATATCTCAAGATGTATCGATATTGATGTTTAAATAAATATACACAATTAGAATCCATGTAATAAAACTTAGGGGATTACATTACATAAATACCAAAAAATGAAGTGTCAGTCCTAAAATACATTTCACTGGTATAGATCAAAGTGGCCAGCTTGTATCTGTCCAGGGAAAAAAAAGTTTTGTTCCTGGTAATGGGTCCTCTGGCTCAAAAATCTAAACCAGACCAGGCTATCCTAGATCTAAAGTCACGACACTGACGCAGCCCAGCGTTAGGAAGGTTCAAAAGGCCAAAGGAATTTTTCATCCTGAAGAAATCCTGAAAGGGATTTAAAAATCAAATTTTAACCACTGGTAGCTTAAGACTGCAAGGAGAAAGTTTTATCATCATTGCCAAAAAACATTACACTGAAAATATTTAATATGCTCACACTTGTAACTGGTTTTGTTGTTGTTGTTATTGTTGTTTTAAAGATTTTTATTTTTAAGGAATCTCTATACCCAATGTGGGGCACAAACCCATGACCCCAAGATCAAGAGTCACATGCTCTACCGACTGAGCCAGCCAGGCGCCCCTTGTTACTAGTGTTTAAACGGACGTTTGACAAAGCCTGGATTTTACTCCTTAAATGTGATGATCATTCTGTCTGCCCGATGCAACAGACTGTGGAAGTTCCAACAAAAGCCCCTGCTAACAGGAGACCGTCAACAGGGTAGGTGCTGTCCCACATCGAGGCATTCAGTTAACCCCTCATTAGAAGAACCCTGCCTTTGATGAGCACATGTCAGCCCTCAGATTCAAGCAGGCAGCACTTTCTATTCAACTATTTAAACACAGAGACAAACCAGCGCAATTGACAGGTTGAGTCTAGAAAAGCAGCTATGGGGTCCTCTGTGATGGGAAATGGCCTAGCCTAAAACAGCCCCTCTCCCGAGACTTCCCAGCAAGGCTTGTATATAATGATCACCATGAAATGGTTGAAGCCATTTCCACTCACTTTTACCAAATCGGAGCCATCAAGCAAGCCACTAAGTCCAGAGAGTCGTGACACACCTGCCCCCTTCCCGCTCAGCGCTATGTCAAGCACAAACAGAAATCAGTTCCTCCCTCGTCTCTACTGGTTGGCACATCAGGACTGTGGGGTTCCGGGCCTCTTGGTTTGCTAGTAGAAGTTTGGGTGAAGAGATGACTTCCCCCTGGAAACTGAGATGCTGATCTCCACAGAGAGAGGTCCAAGCTACAGCTTTCAATCTATAAAGGTCTTCAGGTTCAGAACGCTGGTTGAACAAAGGTCAAGGAGAGAGGAGTGTTAGTTTCTGAGGAGGCAACGTCTGAATGCTCATAGATCCCTAAAAAGGGGGACAGAGCTGAAACAAGCGGTGCAAGACAGTGGTGAGAGGTCCCCAGAGGTCACAGAGAGTGTGCCACCAAAAGCTTCCTGTGGCCCGGGGCTTCAAATTTATCTAAATGTTATCTAAACTGGGGCCGCTTTAGAGAATGTTGGGGTGATCTTACTCTGAAAGGGACTACATCATCTAATGCAGGGGCTGGCAAACGTTCTCTTTAAAGGACCAGACAGTAAATATTTTAGGCTTTGCAGGCCATGTGTTCTCTACCGTAATTACTCAATTTTGCAGAAAGCACAAAAACTGCCACAGAAAAAAGGTAGAAATAAATGGGCGTGGCCATGTTCCATAAAACTATAGTTACAAAATCAGACAGCAGTCACATTTAGCCCATGAGCCAGTGTGGCAACCCCCAATCTAGACAGCTGAACCCAAACAACAGCAGTACCTAGTTACAGACTTTAAGTGTAAAAACAAAGATTCCATGAACTCATAATGCTTTATTCTGACATCTCCTCAGAATCCTTACGTCTTCCAGAATCACCCTGATCTTTTTGAGCTTAATTAAGTGGGAATCCCTCTAACTGTCTTAGTACTATAAACTACTGAAAATTCTAACTATCGCTCCAAATCAACTTACAGCCAGAGGAGCAAGACAGTAACACAAAACCTGCTCAGAAGCCACTTCAAAGGGGACAGTATCCTAGTGCTCATCAAGGAAAGGTGCCCCCTCTTACCACCTGATCACCCCCTCCCACCAGAGAGCGCCTCACCGACAGCAATTCCAACAAAGCAATGCCTATGGAGAATTAAAAAAAATTAAAAATAAAGAATAATTGGAAATATCAGCTTTGTAAATCAGCCTTTGCAAAGCAAATCAGGGTACCTACGTTTTTAGTCTTGGAGCCACCACTCTCTAAATAAATACTGGTATGCTTTGTGGCAGCCCACTCTGCTTCAAAGAGAACAGACAGCCACAAGGCTAAAGGTTGGACAGCTAATACACAGAAAACAGGCTCCCGTGAACAGCAGAAGGCAAGTGAACACCAACACTGTTAAAGCTCAGAGAGGACTCCTGAATGCCCACACATCTTGGAAATGAAGATGCCTGATTCACTCTGCATTGTTACTTCACTTGAAATGTGCAGAAAAGTGGTGACAGCAATTTATAGAGGGACATGTTTCATAGTTCAGGAGAAGGGAAGACTTTATCTGGAAGCCACAGCCTACTTGGGCAAGGACACTTTCTAAGGCAGCCACGCAGGATACAAAAAGTGAACTTAGTTACGACAAAAAGCCATGTGCCTATCTTCAGCCTCTTTTCCTTAAGCCTGAAACCACTGCTGCCGAGTAAAATGATTTGCAAGGATTTGATTGCTTGGAATTTTCAGGGCGATATTATTTCAAAAATTAAGAATAGAAATCTTTCACATCCACCAAGACCTATGCTTCCCAAGAGAGGAGAAGGGAGGGGGGTAGCCAGAAGCGCTGCAGCTGGGGAAGGAGTGCGGGTGTTGGCATAGGAAGAGCTGGTCGCCCCAAGACCCTCCCAGCACTCCTTCCACTCTAAGCTTGACGATTTGCCACCACATCCAGCTGGACCACAGAAACCTGCTTGCAGTGTCCGCAAAGTTGACCATGGACATCAAAAAGGAAAGGTCTTCAAGAAAGAGGAAGCGGGAGCAGTGAAGAGGCACGGAGTTTCCTCGAAGAGGCTCGAGGTCCATTCTAATCAACACATTTATTCTCGATGCTTCAGAATCCCGTCCTTTATGATTAAAGATCCAATGAAACAAAGCTCTTTGTCTGCTCTGAACCAGCTCAACTAGTTCTGGATCATGATGTCCTTAAGTCTGATGCTGCAAATCTTTGGCAGAGCATTAGAAGCATCAGTCAAGGTCTGCTATCTAACGTCAGACAGAAGAAAGTTTGAACATTTACGCAGAAAATAACCAGTAGTCATGTTGCTTACTAATTAAATGAAAAAACTGTCTCGCTGGAAGAGTAAAGGAATGAGATCTTTTAATTAAATTTTCTGATTAACTAATTGCTAAATAAAAAGAGGTATTTTACTTAAGTCCTTAAGTACTTATTTTTTCTTAATTATTTTCCACTGTGTTGGTCCACACCCTCATATAAGAGTAGTCAATGCAATCAACACAACCTATTGTTTCTTGGGCGACTGAGGATCCAGTCGTTATTTTTAATACAGCATCATCAGTTTCAATATCAATGACAATTACATAGAATCCACCCCAAAACAGAAGTTCAGAAAATTGAACTGAACATACTCTGAGCCTAAGGGTGAGGTCTGAGAGTTGATCTTAAATAAATCCCTTTCCCTTTTTTTTTTTTTAAACTTCCGTTTGCCTCTCTGCCTTCATAGACAAGTACAGTCAAGAGCTCTGCTCTGGGACTGTCACCTGTTAGACTAGACCCTCTGCCATGCAATAACTGATCCTCTAAGAATGTATTTTCACCTCCTGTGCTTCCCCTGATGATACCAGGAATGCTTCTGGAGGTTCGAGAAGGGGTCAGTGAAAATGAAGAAGGATGGAGAAAGGAGACAGTGGAGGAGGTGCACAAAGGCACGAGGAGACAAAGCTTATGAAATAGAAGGCCAACAAGGGGGGCAGTGGGGTAGCTGTGAGGGGTCAGAGGACAGACAGAACTTGCCAGAAAACAGCCCAATGGAATTCTATGTTTCATCTGTGTAAATTAACCTGAAGATGTAAATCCTTACTCAGGGCAGTTTGATTCTTAACAGGTACATATGCTGATGTCAGTGGATCAAAACAAAGAAAGAATGAAATCACGCGGAAAGCTCTTGTACAAGCATCTGCTCTGCCACTGTCCCTTTTAGCAGCCCTGTTTGCTAAAGGAGGGGCGGCCTCTGGAGCCATCTACCTGTGCCAGTCACTGCAGTTAAACACTGGCGGTTAAGACGGTTAATCCAGAGGTTAAGACAAGAACTAATTCCCCAACTTTACAGGGAAACAAGATCCTGTTCCCAAAGGAAAATGATACTCTCATTGACCAGGTGAAACCTGCAGTACCCTCTGTTCCAAAGTCATGATAGGTTGTTGCTCCTGATATTCCATTACCAATCAATTTTGGTTTCAACAACCCAAGTCATTGAAATGTGTCCAGACACCACACAGACCAGGCTGGAAACCCTTAAACAGAACCTGTTGTCTCTAATCCTTGAATACCAGGATAGCCACAGTCTTTTGCTGAGCGTTCAGCTCTCAGAGAATTCAAGGTCGGCCCTTCCACAGCCTTCCATGAGAACAGTGGGATTTAAAAATAGGCCAGGATCTTAAGAAAACAACAGTAGGAAAGGCTATAAATACATTTTTATATTAGAGAATCACTCTAAAAGATTTCGTTGTAGTTCAAATTTAAGTGGATTTCATCATAGCAGGAACAAAACATCACAACAACGACTGTAAGGGGGCGGCCTACCTACTCCTGAATTAGCTCCGGTAACCACGACCACTTTGCCGGTGAAGTCCCGGCCCTGCAGGATCTCCATGGCGGTGGTACTGCTATCATATCTCTGCCTGTTGGTCGGCTTCGTAGGGTTATCATCCACCGTAAATGCCAGTCTCGGGTCCAAATAAGTGGTTCTTTTATTTATATGACTGCAAAGAAAAGGAGAAAACAGTGAACCCAGGCATTTATAAATGTAAGACCATCTTATAGTTTAGGTGAGGCAAACCCCATTTTTCATGTACTAAAAAGGTTTATTCTTAAACCCCAGAAAGAACTGGCGTCCATTTAAGTCTGTCTTCTGGCCTCCAGAAGGATTGCATTCCTGCCTGGAAAGAATAGTCATCAAATCCTTTTCTTCAGAACTGCCTGTGAAATACGCTGTAGCATATAAAAAGCACTGCCTTGTATCCTGAGATTTCAAAAAAGGAAGCAGCTTTGGGATTTTTTTTTTTTTTTAATTCATGTAAATGTGGCGGTAAGATCTGTCAGCCACTGTTGTCAGTAGATTTCAGTGAAATCTCTGAACCCTGCGCAAGGGCGTAAGAAAACTGGTAGGAGGTGGCAAACTCAAAATGATAAAAAGTCTGAACATTCTGAAGTTCTGATGATTTTCATTTCAAGACCGTATTCACATCTCCTCCGAGCACTGTAGTTTGGATTTGGAGGTGATCTAAGTCTTGTAGAAACTCAAATATATTAGCACATATGGATTAATGGGTTACTCCCATGGAACAGATTTATTTTTTTACATTTTTAAATGTACTCTTTGGATCTGAGAGAAAAGATCTCAAAATATCTTAAAAACCATTAAGAACTAACTCTCCAGAAGTAAACAGATGAGATTTTGTGATTTAAAATTTTTCTGTAACATGTGTGTGCTTAAAATAATAATATAGCTTAAAATCTATACTCATCACCCTAGAAATACAAAGAGCCAAGAAGAATCCAGCTGTCGTTTTACTTATAACCGGAGCTGCCAGAGAAGTGTCTGGAAGGGTATCATGCGAGATGCCACAGCAGTGCCTGGCCCACGGGTGCACACCTCTCCTGGCTCCTCACTGACGTCCCCTGGGTGGCCTGAAAGAAGCTATGGTGAAAGGATGTGCCCCGTGGAAACAGAGCTGGGCGTCCCCCCGCCCCCACCAGAGTTGGCGGGGGAACGTTTACCAGCACACCGCTGTAACAGGTGGAGAGGAGAGCGGCCGGAGTCACACAGGAACTTAACAACGTCAATGCCCAGGAGGTAATTTGATAAGTTACAGTCTATCGGTACAAAATAATACTCCATGGCCATTTAGCACCACTGTCTTGAAAAAAATAAACAGGAGAAAATGCTCACAAGACATTATGTGGAGAAGGACAGTTTACTACACAATTCCCAAAGTGCACTCCCTTTTTATTCTTTGAAGAAAGCAGACTTGGAGAATAAAAAAATTATTAAAAGTAGTTAATCCTACTGATAAGATTACAGTTACATACTACATATTTTTCTATATTCGAGGTATATTACTTTTACAATGAAAAATTCCTACTGAAAAGCAAAACAACTGAGAGGCCTTTCTATACAGACACTTACTCGACAAAAAAAACTTGTCCGTTCTCATCGGTTTCTTGTTCCCATCCATATGGCAAATCTGAAACACAGGAAGACTGGCAGGTCTATGTGCGGCAGGGGTGGGGTAAACAGAGGCCCAGGCCCCTGGTCAGGAGGCTCCCTGCCCTTCCAGCCCCCGCCCCAAAGCCTCTCCCACCAACCAGCAGCCTCACCGGGCAACCTCAGGCTGTGTGTACCAACCGTGGCCGTTATAAAAAGCCCATGAGAAATCACCCTCACCATTCCACCCCACTCTTATCACCTCCTTCTGCCACAACCCATGAGCTCCTCCGAGAGAGAGAGCCTGATTCCTTGATGGCTCCCTCCTAGAGAACCTTCCAGGAATGACAGAGCAGACTGTCACCTGATTGTGACAGTTTTGCTATCTAATTAATGCTTTAAATACAAGGTTATTTGGTTTATGACAACAACATACAAACCTCCTGCTATTCGTTTTCTTTTTCCGGTTTTCGGATGTTCCCACTGGGTCTTCTCCTCAGCATGACTGTTAAAAAAAAAAAAAAGTTAAAACTCCACAAAAAAATAGTAACTGAAGGTTACACTTCTAAAAATTAATCAACTGCATTGTGCCCCACCCCCCCAACAACACTATTTCCCAAGAGTAGTAAAGCCAGAGTTCAGAAAAGAAATACTCAGAACATAAATGCTACTGTCTACATCAGGTTCAACTGCCTGCGTGGGAAGGAGAAGCAGCCCAAGGAAATCTCCTGAAAGCCTGTCTTTGTGAGCAGGCTGTGGAGGACGAGGAAGAGAAGCAGACTGGAACCCCACTTGTGGGTCAACTTTAGGAAGCTTAGTGAATCACTCAGAGTATCTAGATGTGTTTTGCATTTGTTTTAGTTTTATCCCAGGACAGATGAACAGACTTCAGTCTAATTTATGATGCTGATATTTAGATATCATTTAGATATATTAATCTTAAGTATTTATTCTTTCCACAGATAAAACTTTGAAGTGTTTTAAGCACTGACTCCTAATTGTTCCCAAGAGGTATTTAAGAATGCAGTTAGAAAGCCCCAAAGGTCACCTCACCGCAACCTGGACAAGTTACTCAACTTCGCTGCCTCAATTTACCTATCTGCAAAATGGAAATGATCCTAGAACTGATCTCAAGGAAATGCTATGAGGATAAGGTATATCAAGGGCTGAACACAGTACATGACATATAAAGAGCCCTCAAAAGTGCAACCTATTATAAACAAATCAAATATATAAACCAGTCCTATTTCTGTGGAAAATTTAGCATTTTATCTAACAGCACACAAAGTTAAATTAAAATCGTGAGCCAATAACAGACTAGAGATATCGTCAACAGGTGATAAAATATCAAGAAAAACAAAATTACTTCATCAGAGAAGTAGCTGGATGTTGCAAGAAGCATTCCCAGGGGAGGCTGAATTTCCTAAAAGTTCACATACTCATGCTAAAGTAGAAAATAATAATCACTGACATCTAGATGATAAAATCTGAATATGCCTTCCCTACCAATTGCTTTAAAGAGAACAAATATAGAGAGCATGAATCTGCTGTAAAATTTTACATGAAGCAAACAAGGTTTTTTGGGGAACTGTGGGCTTCAGGTCTGGTTTTGCACTCTCAGTGGCGGGTGCAGCAACTCTGTGGACACTGGACTCAGGAGGCCAAAGACTTGGGCTCCCGAATACCTGTAATCAGTCAGCCAGTCTCCCTGGCCCCACACCCACCTCACAGAGCTGTTGGAAAGGTAAGTGACACCCTACTTGTGACAGTGATTGGCAAACAATGAAGTCACTGTACAAAGGCAGGGTATCAGCAGCCCAGACCAACGTCTGCTTGTACATCGACCACCATGAAATCCTACTCACAAAAAGGGAGAGCCTGAGTCCTGGTAAGGACAAGCTGCTCCTTGCGGACACAACCCCTGCTTCTCCTTTAAAACTGAAGGGAACAGCAAGCAAACCAGATGCTGGCAAAGACCTACACCATTCCTGCTCTTTGCTTTGCTTTTCTCCTCACGCTTCTTCAAGAAAACTTTACAGATGTGATTTTATATTTTCTTCTGCCTGGAGTTGAAAGTAGTTTGCAACCCACAGGCAGGCATCAAATGAGCTTTGAGCCAAGCTCCAAAAAGACCTGCCCTCAAGAATCTATAAAGTTATTGAGGAGGGCACGTTCTGCATGGAGCACTGGGTGTTATGAACAAACAATGAATCATGGAACACTGCATCAAAAACTAATGATGTAATATATGGTGATTAACATAACAATAAAAAAAATTAAAAAAAAAAAAAAAAAAGAATCTATAAAGTGCCCCTGTGAGTGGAACGCTGACCTCTACAGCAGACCAGCGTCCAGATGAACCCTCAGACAACCAACCCTGTGCCTGGCCCGAGGAGTTGCCCAAATGTAAACGGGCGGCGTGAATAAATGCTTTCCAAAGGAGTTGGAAAACTCACTGAGAACATTTTTTTTCCATCCTGAGAGACATTAAAAAAAAAAAAAAGATAAACATTGTCGCCCATGTTTTTAACTTTGACAGAAAACGCCTAAGTCAAAGTTTCTTACCACTGGCAGTCCTGACATTTAAGCCAGATCGTTCTCTGCTGTGGGGGCTGTCCTGCGCACTAAAGGACGATTAGCTGCAGCCCCCGTCTCTCCCTACTAGATGCCAATATACCATAGTTGTGGCAACAGAAAGTGTCTCCAGACATCTCCAACTGTCGCCTGAAGGATACAGTGTCCCTGGGGGAGAACCCCAGGCCTGACACAAGAGAAAAGAACATAATTTGGCAGTGAGGATTTCAGAGTCCAAATGCGCATGAGTTCCGGCTCTCCCACTCACCAGCCATGTGCCCTTAAAGAGGTGTTTGACCTCCCTGTGCCTCAGTTTCCCCATCTGTAAAATGGGGATAATAGAAGCATCTGCTCCTTGGGGCTACTGAGGACTCAATGAGTTAACATGTGTGAAGAACTAAGAACTATGCCTTTCATACAGAAGCATTAATTTAAATAAATACTTACATATAAAACGTAATTAGAAAGTGTTCTCAATTGTAACCTAAAATGACTTTTTAATGAAGAGAAAATCACGACATATGTCCCCAAAGTGTTATCTTCCTCTCCTTTAAACAGAAGCCCTCTTCTATTTTTTCTTTTTCAATAAGCTTTTTGTCATTTAAAGAGATAATTAACAGGGATCTTAAACCAAAAGGATCTAAATTAAATTCATACCACATTACATGGATATCACTTTCAAGTATGCTGTTCTAGAAATTTGTTTTCGAACTTAACTTGGAGACAGAGAGCTGACTGTGAGGAGGGCCAGCCCCGTGGACCAGGGAGCCATCTCCCAACTGGGCAAGGCCGGTGGGCCCTCTGGTTGCCAAGACGCCAGGGCTTCAGAAGGAAAGCAGCGGGGGGGAGGGCCCAGGAAGGCCCAGGTGACTGCGGCGACAGGCCCAGGCATTGAGCCCTTCCATCCCACCTCCTGGCTTGGGCAGAAGGGCTGCCCTGGACCGTGTCAAAGAGGGGGGAAAGGCCCGCCAGCTCTCTCTGGAACCAGGTCTGCCCTCAGTGGCAGGACGGCTCTCTCCCTGAAAGCCCAGCCTGGGGGGCCCTGGAGCCATAGGACATGTCTGCTCCAGAGGTGAGTGCACCACGGGACACATGGGAAAGCACAAGGAGCCAAAAGAAGCCACACAACAGGAGAGGGGCAAAGGCATGAGTCAGGGAGGGGGAATCTCATTGGAGGCTACAGCCTCTGTCCCTGGGGGTGGCCTTGCTGTGGTTGAGAGGAAGACCACTGGAAAACAGGAACTACTCAGAGGGCAAACTTCTTTTAGCCCATTAACAGTTTCCCAAACCCCAAGAGGGGACAAGTGACCCTTCCAGAGTTAAGAGAAAAGACAGACCAGGATGCTTGCAGGTCAGGAGAGATCAAGGGGGACTGCAGGGAATTACGGTTAGGATTGGTCAGAGGCATCCTTCCACCTGGAGAGCTAAAGCACTGAGGGCCAGGGGGACTAGAGAGGGGGACACCCAGCTGGGCCCAGCCAAAACTTGTCACTACATTCAGTGTAAACAAGAGACCCAGACAGGCCAGTTTGAGACCCAACACTGGGGAGGGAGGAGAGCCTTTTCAGGGACCATATATGCACCAATGAAGCCCTGGAAGCACTTGGAGGAGCTGACTGGGGTGTGCAGATCTTATTTAGTGAAAGAAGAGCCCGGACACTGGACACCATCGAGGAAGGAAGCAGATGGGAAAGGCCACCCAACATAAGGTAGGACACAAGGGGGAGAGACAGGGTAACACCAGGCTCCAGGCAAACTTGAAAGAAAGCCAGGGAGCCTAAGCTAAATGGCCAGAACGAAGGTGAGCCCCACACAAAGCAGGAGGCCGAGGAGGGCTCTTACAGCCAGGATGGCAGTCCTGTGCACCTTTACATTCCAGGGCCCAGGATGCCACCTGCTCAGGGAGGCCCGAGGAACCCTTCACTGGAGGAATTCACTCAACCCACACAGACTTATGTCTCCCAGGTGCTAAGCACAGGAGATTCAGAGGGTAACAAGAAAAGGTCCCTGCCCTCATGAAGCTTACAATCTGGGGGAGGAAGACAGAGCACAAACAAGGAAAGTATGCCTAAGATGTCTACAGAAAAGGCCAAGTGCAGGGGCGCCTGGTGGCTCCGTCGTTAAGTGTCTGCCTTCGGCTCAGGTCATGATCCCAGGGTCCTGGGATCGAGCCCCGCATCGGGCTCCCTGCTCGGTGGGAAGCCTGCTTCTCCCTCTCCCACTCCCCCTGCTTGTGTTCCCTCTCTCGCTATGTCTCTCTCTGTCAAATAAATAAATAAAATCATTAAAAAAGAAAAAGACCAAGTGCCATGACTCAGATAATGAGAGGCTGGGAGGAGGGTGCAGGGATCAGGGATAAGGGGAAGGTCTCTTGGGCAGTGGCATTTAAGTTCAGCTCTGGGGGATGACAAAGCCCTTCACATAGCTCTCCAGGCAGAGGTAACAGGGAGTGTGTGCTCAGAAGCTGCCTAGAGCCTAACAGCTCCCTACTGCTAGACTTGTCCCTACCATTCTCCAGAGCCAGAAACCACCTTTCGAAAGACATAAATCCGATGGTACTCCCTGGCTCCAAGCCTTCAGTGGACCCCCGGGTCCTGACGATGGAGCCCCAGCTCTTCCATGAGGCACAGAAGGGCCTCCATACACTGGGGTCTTCCCCTGCTGCCTCAATCTTCCCGTCCCTGCACCAGCACGTGGGCCATATAGAGGCCTCCACTCTGTCTCCTCTGCCTGGGCTGCCCTCCTGGCCCTGAACATGCCCACCTCTACTTATGCTGAGGCCCAGCTCAGGTGCTGACTCTCCCCAAGCACCCAAGGTGCCCCCCCACCTACCCACACACGCCTCATGTTTAGCAGGCTACTGCTCACTACCCACACACTGTGCTGAACTAGCCATGTGTAATAACTCTGCCATACAAGACTGGGTGACAAGTGGGTCTTAGTTATCTCAGTATAACCAGTGCCCAGCAAAGAGCCTGGCATGTGATAAAACCCCACTGTGTCTTGAATGAAATAAACTCACCAAGGTCTGTCTTTCTTTTTTCTTTTTTTTCCCCTGGTTTTGTTTCTACCAAGCAACCCAAGACAGCAGTGGCTCACAACCCTGGATAGATAAGAATCTCCTGGGGAGATTTTACAACATACCAATGAAGGTGGGCAGGGCCCAAACCAGTTAAATGAGAACCTCTGGAGGAGGAACCAAGGAAAAGCTATTTTCTAAGTTCTCCAGATGTTGAAAATCACTAATTTACAACCACGTTTCACAAACCCAAATGATAACCTGCCTTACGGGGAAAGCTTATAAAATACAGATTCCCTACGCTGGGTGTCTGCTGCATAAGGGTCTCTGAAACCTGTATTTAGGACCCTCAACAGGTGATTCTAATGAGGCTTAGGCGATGCTGTCACAGCTGCAGAGAGAGCAGAAAAAGCTCAGTTATGGCGCAGAGTACTCATTAGATCTGTGCTAAGTGTTTAATGTACAGTGCTTTAATCAAAATTCTGTCAACCCATTTTACAGGTGAAAAATCGGTGACTGAGAGTTCTTGCAATGGCCCAAAGTCGCACAGTAAGGGAAGGGAGAGAGGGTCGGCCAGGGTTTCCAAAACTTTGCCAGAAACTATTGGAATCCTATTACATATACAAATGTATATATACATAACTATATTAGGACACTTATTAAAAAATATATTCTCTAGGTCCCTGCCCCAGACCCACGAGGAGGGAGCTGGGCACTGGCCTTTTTGGGGGGGGAGATGAGGGAGTAAAGGCCTGCTGGCCACCATGGCACCGTGCAGCGCCGCCTCCTGAGCAGCAGAGGGCGCGTCTGGGCGCTGCCAGGTGACCCCCGCTGGACCCAGGGCCCAGAAAGGCAGCCGACCCCAACTCGGGGACCCTGGGAGCCTCCTTGAGGAAGCTCCTTAACTATCGCCTCCACTTCGCGCGGCCTCGCCAAGCTGAAGCGCCGGCCCGAGCCCCTCCGCGCGCAGGTGGCATTCCAGGCAGCGCAGGGTCCCGGGCACTTGAGGCCGTCAGAGCTCCAGGTGCGGCCCCCTCCAGGTGCGTCCCAGGCCCGGAGGCCCCCCTGCGGCCCCTTACTTGGCATAGTAAACCCAGCCGTCCTTGGTGGTTCTCTGCTCCCAGCCCGGGGGGAGCTCGTCCTCGCTGTCCGTGTCGTCCAGGCCAGCGTAGCGCAGGGCTGCCATGACGGCAGGGAACGCGCTCAGTCACCCACTCTCTCGGTCGCCCGCTGCCGGGTCTCCGCGCCCAGGAACTCAATCCCGCTTCAACCGAGCGCCGCGCGCGGCGAGACCCAAACGCTCGCGCCTGCGCACTGCGCCGCCCCGAGCCGCTCAGACGACTCGGGAGCTAGAATCAGGTCTCCCGCGTTTCGCTGCTGCCGGCGTAAAAGGGGCGGGGCCTGGGAAGAACGGCGGTGAAAGCTCGGGAGAGATCGCACTGCCGCTCGGCTGGAAGTAAAAGCCGGTGGACGTTCCGTTACTCTGGAGATGGAGCTGAGCTTCGTCCACCTCCCGGCCTCAGGGAAGGGGCGTGGGCCTCCAGTAATGGTCCAGGACTCCGCCCGTTGCCGAGCGACCCGTAATTACTTCCGCGTTGTTCTGACCAATCCTGCTGGAGCTCTAGCAAATGAGCATCCTGGGAAACGTAGGCCAGGCCCAGTGGGAACGGACCGCGGAGCGGAAAGGAGGGATGCCGAGGCTGGTTTTCTGGACTCTGGCCTCTCCGGCTTTTAGGACATTATGAAGCCTAGATGTTCCTGCTAAGAAACCTTCCAGAGCTTCCCATCACCCAGGCTGACTCACACACTTTGTTGTGCATGTAACCATAACGTTATAAAACGTGGGAACGTTAAAAATGCAAATTCCCGAAACTTCTAAAACCCCGTCTTGTAGAGCAGATGCTCCCGGCCGCAGGATGATTCTGTTGATAAATAAAGGGCTTTTATTTATCAACATTTATAGACCGCTTAATTCCGGATCAAGAATTCATAGACTATCTCTTTCCGGGAACCCGACGCCTCCCACAGGTGGGCACAGTTAGAAGAAAGAAGAGCAGGGGACTAACTGCAGTTGAGACCGTATTGCTATATTACAATTACCTGTTTATCTGCGTACTCCTGACCAAACTGACAGAGCACCACATCTTATGCTTCTCTATCGCTAGCACTTAGTAAAATGCCTAGACCTGCAAATTTATTGAATGAAATAAATTAATGAATCAATGTGATTTCGTAGCTTTGGCCCTCTTTAAGTCAACCTAGTTTAAAACAAATTCCCAATCTACAAAGTGGAGTCTCTCAAATCCTCTCGGAGCACCTACAAGTATTCTATCAATGTCCTGTGTCAAAAACTGGAAGCGTATCTTTAACTTGGTCTTGCCTAAGTTGTTTTCCAGAACATTCCCCAACTGAAACTTGCTCCCCAACTCAGCATTACAGGGAAGTCTACTGACCAGGATTCCCATGGCCTAGGTCTCAGAAAAACACAAGCCTCCATCTCAAAAATTACGTATCTTTGAATTTTTTAAATTTTTTTAAAATTACATATTTAAACAGGTAGGGACATGGGGAGGCAGGGAGTTGTGTTGCTTTTTGTCTTCAAGTCCTAAAATTGATATTGCTTTGGGATTTCTGCTCTGCATGCTTTTTAGGGAAGAAACTTGCTTTCCTTTGAAGGTGCCCAACCAAAAGCTAACTTAATGAAAATATATTTTAGTTTTAACAGGTCCACTATCACATCTCAGACCTATCAAAACATCACTCTCCAACCCATATATATTTAAATAAGCTAATTTATTAATATGCTGCTCTTCTGCTCACTCCATTTTAACCCCTTGTCTCTGTCACCCAAGCCAATTTATTCCTTTAATATAAATAGAGATTAGGCCACAATGAGCCCAGATAATGGGGAGGAGAATCAAACTGATTAGTCTTAGTCTTTCCAATTATAATCCTAGCTCCACTCAAGGATTTACTGCTTAGATTTATCTCTTGTTGCCCTCACCAGAGCCTCTCAGGCCACCTGTTCCCTATGACTCAGCATCAGGCCACAGGTAGTAATATGGTATCTTCCCCAAAACTTGGTAGTGGTCCCCTTGATAAAATTCACAACTTCTAGTTCAACTCTCTGCTCTTCCTACCACTTAAACTATTCCCTCAAAGCTTCTCCTGCCATGAACATCAGGGTTTCTCAACCTCTGCACTACTGGCATTTGGGGCCAGATAATTCTTTGTTGCCGGGACGGGGTGGGGGTGGGGGTGGGGAATCCTGTCCTGTGCAATGTAGGATATTTAGCAGCATCTCTGGCCTCTACCTGCTAGATGCCAGTCGTGTCCCCCTCCCCCAAGCTGTAAAACCAACAAGTCTCCAGACCGTTGCCAGTTGTGCCCCCAGTTGAGAACACTGATCTACACTGACAGTAAGCCAGAAAACTACTAACTCATAAATTAAATGCTGGGATGTATTTAAGATGTTTAAGAGACCCTTCTTGGCCAGAGATTCACAAGGTGGTATTCAGACCCTGCTGGTTCAGATTGCCAATTCTCTAGCACTGTCTAAGGGTACGCATTTCTTCAATTCCTAGTCACTCCAGAGTTGAGACCCATAGGCTGACAGAAGTCTGGCTGAGTGGCCCAGACACCAATAATGGTCCCAAATGGTAATGATGACCTAATTTTATTCCTCTCTTCCTACTTTTTATCTGTGGCTTCTATCAGAAGATTAAAAGAGTAAGACACACAGGCATTTGGGGACTTATGAAGGTAAGGCATGCCAGATTTTAGGATTTCCAGTCTTCTGGCTTCTTCCAAACTGACATTGTTTTAGTAGTGCTTATTTGATTGCAAACAACAGAGACTTAAGCAAAAGTTTACATCCAGGTTGCACATGAGCTAAATTAGAATGTTATCAGGGCCTGAGGGAGCTCAAGGACAAACTCCTTTTTTACCTCTTGTGGATTTCATGGTCTCTTACTTCCCGCTCTCCACTCACGAGCTACATTCTCCTGCTCTCTCTTTACTGGCTTCCTCTGTGCCCTGCCAGTTCTTGCCCCCTGAGCTTTAGCTTACACATGGCTTTGATGTTGGTCTTCCAAGGATCTACAAGAGGGTGAGCTCTATTTAGCATATAGAATTTAACAGGTTTGAGGAGCCTTAAGTTTGGGAATAAGCCAAGGTCCTCAATCTTGTACCCCTAAGAAAGCCTAAAGAATGGTTTGCTTTTGTAAAGCCAACTAAGTCACATTAATGGGTAGTGAGGAGATTTTAAAAAATCCAATGTGTGGTTATACAACTGCACACCAGATGGCCCTATGTGCCCACGATTGAAAGGCTAAAGACCAATTCCTGACAAGGATTTCTACATTTGAACTGTCTTTTCTCTTTTAGTGACCATTTATGCGGTAAGTGACAATTGATGAACATAGATTGACGAGTTGCTGCTAAAAGCAGTTTGGCATTACTTATGCGGTGGACACAAGCTTTAGTGGAACATCCCCGGGGCCACATTTCTTTATTTTTTTTTTTTTAAGATTTTACTTATTTATTTATTTGAGAGAGAGAAAGCAATGGACAGGGCCCCGAGTGGAGGGGAGAGGGGCAGAGGGAGAGGAAGAAGCAGGCTCTCCGCTGAGCAGGGAGCCTGATGCGGGGCTCGATCCCAGGACCCTGAGATCATGACCTGAGCCACGCTTAACTGACTGTACCACCCAGGCACACCACACACACACCCCCACCCCAGGCCCACATTTTTTTAGTTCCTATCATTACTGTGATGATGGTCATTGCCCTCCCCCTCACACACACAAACACCCCAACAATTCTGCAAACCTGCTTTAATGGAAGTCACCGTTCTTTGGGAAATTAAGCTTCCTGTGTTGGTGCCAAAGGCAATATGCTAATGAGACTTGGGAGGCCTCCTGGCTCCTCTGACAAACTTCTCCTGGGAGGTAACCAGTAAGGAAGAATACTGAACAGGATTCCAAGGGAAAATGCTTTCCTGGTCAATGTAGCCTTACATAGGAAGGTGTGTTCAGATTTCATTTATTCATTCGAACACACAGGAGTGAGAAAAATTTATGCCATGTGTCTGAGAAAAAAACAAAAAACAAAAAACAAAATGAAACATCCCTTGCATCCAGAAATCAGTCAATTAGGATAAGACTTACAAACATGCAAAGAACTATGGTTTGAGGGGGGTTTTTGTTTTGTTTTGGTTTTTGGTTTTTTTTTTAGGTTTTGTTTATTTATTTGACAGAAAGAGACACAGCGAGAGAGGAAGCACAAGAAGGGGGAGTGGGAGAGGGAGAAGCAGGCTGAGCAGGGAGCCTGATGCGGGGCTCCATCCCGGGACCCCAGGATCATGACCCAAGCTGAAGGCAGAGGCTTAACGACTGAGCCACCCAGGCGCCACCTAGTTTGAGGGTTTTAAGAGAAGTTTGAACCAAGATGTATAGGTATACAGAGACAAGGGTGAGTTTCAGTGGTAGGGTTTCCTGTAATTATCTTTAGAACCAAACTCAGTTCATGTCACTTACAGTGACCAAGTCATTTAACTTTCCTTATTCCATTACCAGCCCTGTTTTTACAGATGAAGAAACTGGGGCACACAGAATTTAAGTAACTTGTCCGCAGTCACTCCGTGAGCAAGAGCCAGCAGGCTCTGGAATTAGAATCCAGACAAGAGGACTAGCCCCAAACTCATTCTCTCTACCATGGTTCCCCTGTATGCTATCTTTCCAGAACAGGGGGTCCTCAGTACTGGGGTGCCCAGGAGTTTCTGCTCCTCCATGAGAAAATGAGAAAAACAAAGTAAAAGAAGTGAATTGCTCATAAAGCTAAATATATTTTATTTAAAGTACTGTCTTTTTATTTTCTATCATACTATATCTGTTCTACTTTTATTTATTTCTGGTGATCTCCCAACATGTTTTATTATGAAATTTTTCAAACATCAAGAAAAGTTGAGACAAGTACAATGAATGTTCATCTTACCGCCCCCGCAACACACAGACCTAGATATAGTAATTGTTAACCTCCTGCCACATTTGCTTTAAAGAGACAGAACTTGATTCCCTGAAACATTAGGAGAGAGTGATTTTGTTTTCTTATGAGAGTCTTCAGGACTAAGTAATAAGGCTCATTTTCTCTAGGCCACACCTATGCACTCTCCCCTGGTGAGTGCATTTCTATTGCAGTGACGTCTCCAAATCAGACCCTCACATTTGGAAATTTCATTTGTTTAATTTACATTTAAAGGCCTCAAGTTTCAATGTAGTTTTACTATATAACTGCTAACTTGCCACCATTATCAAGATTCTACTTCAGCCTAATTTCATTCCTGGCTACTTTCTGCCCCACAGCAAGAAGAAGGACCCGCCGGGGAAGCAGTCGTGTTGTCCCTACTCACTCGAAAACTGTGGTGAGGAGTCCATTCCATTTAAAGTCTTCCACCACCTGCTTAGAGTGTCTTATTTTGGCAGCCAAAGCTTCCAAGA